GTCCTTTTTAGATTAAAAAAATTTTAAAACATGGGCCTACATGCTCACTGAAAAGGCAGTATCTCCGAGTTTTTTAGGACTTGAAATATTTATAGTAAAACTCTTTAAATTTAATGATGTGAACAGAAATTAAACCATTAATCTGGCCTATAGCACATGAATTAAAAGCTTTATTGCTTATCTTTATGTAAACTTTTTGTTCATTTATAATTTCACCTATTGACACATCTTTTATAATACTCAAGTATCAAGGTCATTTTAATTGACTAAATTCTCTAAGACCTCTGCAGATTTTTTTAGTTCAGCCCCACTATTTTCTCAGATAGTTAAAATTTATTCAATGGTTTCAAATGTTCTGTAAAAGTTGAATGTGTCCAGGTTGTTTTCTTATTTTAATCAAAGTAATATGCATACATGGTTAAAGAAAAACCAATAGAAGAGCCTGTAATGAACAGCAACACTTTCCTTTTCTTTAACTTTTATATTAAGTTCAGGAGTACATGTGTAGGTTTGTTATACAGGCAAATTTGAGCGATGCTTTCTTAACCCACTTCATTTTACCCTTTCTTGCTCTGCTTCACTTCTGAGACTCAAAATGACTCTTAATGGTTTTCATATATTTTGTTGGCATTTTCATAAACAGTAGACCACTATTTCTACTTAGGCATTACCTACTGACACCAGAGCATAGAAGCTGTGAATTTAGCTCACTGATCACCTCTCACAATCATTTGTTTCTCTCTCCAGCTGTTTAAAGCTATGTTACAATATTATATCTCTGGAAACTCCATTTATAAAATGAAATAATACGCTTACACTCTATTTGCTGTTCCACCAATGGTGAGCACTATTGCTTGAGAGTTTAGCCTATAAGTAGGATATTATTGACAGCTTTTACCTCCATCTTCCCAACTCCCCACTCCCATCTTCAGTTAACCATAAACTTTTACATTATTACGATTAATAATATTTACATGTTTTGAAATCATAATTTGTGAGCTCTGTCTGTAGATTAAGCACTAAACTTAAAAATCAGTAATATATATTTACACTTTCTAGTAAATATTGGTTCCTGTGGAGCCATGCTAGACAGATATCAACATATACCCTTCCCAAGTCAAAGGTCATGACACATCAATAATTCAAAAGTGAGTGTTCCCAGCTTAGAAATCAAGGATTCATCAAGTATTAAATGCATCCCAGATTTTACTTTTCACCCTATTTGGACGATGGCATTCTCATGGTATTTTATGCTTCATTCATTCTTCCAGTATTGCTTTGTAATACTAATTTAAAGATTTGGGTTAAACTTGACCTCCAAGAAATATTTTTTATTTTTCTCCTCACCATTTTTTCTATTCTTTCTTTCTGGAACTCCTATGTATTGGACATTGGCCTTTTTATGTTGTTCCTTCATACTTTTGATCTTTCCTTGATATTATGCATTGCTTTGTATTTTCTGGAGTTTTTACTCACTACAATCACTCATCTTTCATTTATTAACATTTATTTTTATTTCAGCGAGCACATTTTTAATTTTCAAGAGATGTTCTTTGTCCTTGATTGTTCATATTTCATAGCAGCCTGCATTTATTCTTTATATTTGACACTTCTTTGGTTTCTCTGAGGTTAATAATTAAAGGCTTTATAAAATAATGATAGCAATAACATTTTTCAAAATGTCGACTCATCTCCAAATTTTCTTGGCTTCCTCCTGAATTTTTTGTGCTTTTCATGTTCCTTTCTTTCACATGCTGACAGTCCTCAGCACGTTGGGAACCATCCGTTTCCATTTCCTGTATTATAAATCTTTGTGTGTTTTCTTACTGGGCTTCTCCTTGAATGAAAGCCAGTCTGGGGGCTCTGTTTGTGTGGGTGCACTTGCAGGCTGAGTACACAAGCAGAGAGCACAGGCCTCTCTGGAGCCTTCCAGAGCTGGTTCAATGAAGCTTCCATTCTGAACTCTCCACCTTCCACCAGCAATCCTCATTCTCAGGAAACTTGTCCAACTAAAAGAGAGGGTTTGCATAAACATGCTCTAGGTTTTGTCCAAAGATCAATTCTGAATTGCCTACCTCTTTGTTCTGTGGTAAGGAAATTGGTGAAGTTTCTACCCAGGAAAACGTTCATTTGATGCCGTTTGAATTAACTCATTTTCCACCCATCTCACTCTCATCTTTGATAACTGTTGGATGCCATGTCTTTTTTTTTTTTATCATGAGATTTACAAGAAAATGATCTTTGACTTCCTCTACTATCCCACTCTGGACCATAGCTTCTTTAACTCTCTTTTTCCATCAGTATGTTCCCGTATGTTTTCAGAATTCAGAAAAATTTGAAATTCAGCATCTAGTAACTACTGCCCTGCCTCCCATGATCTCTGCTACTGTAAATCTGTCCTCATCACTAATTCTATATTATGTTTGCAGTGTTTTGGAAAAGGGGGAAAAATGAATGGGAGAAGAGAAGGGAAGACAAAACCAACATTTAGTCCACCACCTTCCATTGGCAACCAGTATAGTCTTGTAAATAAAAGACATTCGTGTTTGGACAAAAATTAACATAATATCATGTTAGTGTTTCCAACATAGTCCACCTGTGGCTTGTATGATTTTAAAACCACCATGGACTTAAATGAAACCTAAACTCTAGAATTGCACTGTCCACACATACAGCTATTTAAATTTAAATAAAATCAAGTGAAATTAAATTTAAAACTCATTTCCTCAGTCACGGTAGTCAGGCTTCAAATGCTCGATACTACGCATGGCTAGTGCCTACTGGACTGGACAGTGAAGCTGGAGGGCGTTCTTAACGTGGCATAAAGTGCTGGTGGACAGTGCTTCTATAGAGCAAACTCAGAGCTCATAGGTAAAGAATGAATTCATTGAAAATCAGGTGCAACTGATGAGGAATGGGGAAGGGGCCTTCTCTTTCCTCTTTGTTATGTTGTGTTAAAATGCCCCTGCATGTGTTTCAGGAAGGAAATTTGTTTCCTACAGGTCCTTTACTTTCTGTCAGGAGCAGCTGCAGGGGTCCACCCTACAGTAGGAGCTGACTGAGGGCATGCCAGCGGCAGTCGTGGTGAACAGGAGAACTTTGAATGCTTGCATTGCTTCCTGAGAAGAAGGGGGCAGGCGCTTCAGTGTTTATGCCATACAGTCAGGCTTACACATTTGGAGGTTCTTAAATTACCTCTGAGAACAGTACGTGAGAACAGCCAAGGAAAGAAGACAGGAATTTGACAAGGACTTTACCCTGTGCTCATTTCCAGTTCACAGGTCATCCGTGAGCCGGTGACAGCTCATCTCACCTCCCTGGAATCTGTCCCTGAATAGCTCACTGTAAACTTTTAAACTGAACTCTGATAAGGAAAAACTACCTCTAACCTGCCCTAAATTGTGGAGTTTTATCTACTTTGTGGTCTTTTGTGATGAATTGGATTCAGTTTCAGAAGTGAGAAGTAATGTAGAAACCAAAATTTTGCATTGATTCACCATGACAGGGCATGAGGAGGGACACGTTTATGCAATGCAAAGGCAATTCAGCACCCTGGGAACTTATGCCACCTGGTTTTACGCCTAAGAAGTAGGTACAGAGTGGAAAAAAAAGAGGAACAAACTACAAGCCAAAATAAAACCCTTTGAGGCTAGTCAGTGATTCACTCTGGAATTACAAAAGTGCAGAAACTGCATAGGACTTCCACGCCTCATGAATGGCACTCCATGTGGGAAAGAGCCAGTGGACTGCTGCATTTGTGAAGAAATGATGTACGACATGCTCTCAGCGCCCCTCCATAGGATCCAATCGATTATCTAAAAGTCAACATCCTCCGATGTTAGAAATCAAGTCTCATAAATATTATTTTCATCTTTAGGCTTAAAAACTATATCTGTATATACCCATGCTCTCTAAAATATTTTTCTCTCTTTAGTGTACCAGTATACATTTTTAATGGTAAAACCCACATATGGCATGTTTCTCTGCTTTTCCTTTTTTTCTCTAAACCTAATTAGGGCACACAGTTTTGATTTGTAGTTTTTTATGGAGAGAATAAATAACTCATATTTTTATACAAAAATGACCAAGAGTTCATAGATTTAACAATTTTTTTCAATACAGGCAAACTGAATGACATGAAAAAAAATCTGTATTCAAGTCTGATTTTCAGTTTGAATTTCTGCATGGATCACATTAATTGGGTGATGTTTTAATTTCCATTTTTTATGTGTTGGATATGAACACACACTAATTCATGTCATATAATCTATGCTGTATTGCCCCATATCTATCCATTAAACACATATTGAGAGCCTGATAAAGGAAGGACACTGCAGCAAACAGAGCAATGAATCAAACACAGATTCCTTCTCAAAAGTTGGATATTTTGCAGAGATGATAAGGCCCAATAAGTAGAATCAAGTGTAGTCCTGAATCCCTGTTTGGGCCAAATTTTCAATTTGCCCTAGAGCCTTAGGATTGGCAAAGGACAGCCCTGAGTTCTCTGAACCTGTGCTACCCCCTCCCTGCTCAGGACATTACCAAGTGGGGACAGTCGTGCCTCCATGTGATCACTAGGGAGAAGGATCTGGAAATCAAAGAAGGATGGGGGAGAGGGATCATTTCAGTACAGCCCTGTTCATTATGTCATTGGTATTTTCCCCTGTAAAGCCCCAAACACCTTAACCAATAACGGTAGCGAGATTTCAATTCCATGTATGTGGATTTCTACAGCCAAGTAGAAAGTGCTGCATTCTTCATGCTGCTTTGGGAAGATAGCAGTCAATAAAGAAGAGTCTGAGCCAAAGCAGTGCCATCTCTGGTTGGTGTTAGAGTTATTTTATGAAGTTTATGCAACATAAGAATGCAGAAAGTAGTTTAAGTTAGAATGCCAGCTTTGGGTGTTGGTGGTGGAGTTAGGTACTTTCTTTCTGACTGCCCTAGGAAGAGTGTTCATTTCTGGTTTACAAGGCCAGTGTATTAGTTTATACTACGAGGGCAAGTTCATTTGAGTAGGTTGTTTTCGATTAGGGAGGCCAGTGGTATTAGGATTAGAATTGTGATGAAGTATATTATGGATGCTACTTGGCCGATAGTGGTAAGGGGTTGGGTTACTGGTTCGCTTCCAATTCAGGTAAGGGTTAATAGGACTGTTATTAGGAGTCAGAATAGAAATTGGCTGAGTGGGCGGAATATTATGCTTTGTTGTTTGGATTTGTGAAGTATGGGGATGGCTGCTAGGATGAAGATCGATAGGAAGAGTGCTAGTACGCCTCCCAGTTTGTTGGGGATGGATCGTAGGATTGTGTATGCAAATAGGAAGTATCACTCTGGCTTGATATGTGGGGGAGTATTTAGTGGGTCGGCTGGAATGTAGTTATCTGGGTCGTTTAGGAGGTTGGGTGAGAGTAATGTTAGTGTCGCTAGGATAAAGAGAAGGAGGACTAGGCCTAGGATGTCTTTGGTTGTGTAGTAGGGGTGGAAGACGATTTTGTCCGAGTCGGAGGAGATTCCGCAAGGGTTGTTTGATCCTGTTTCGTGTAGGAATAGTAGGTGCACGGTTGTGAGGGCGATGATGATGAAGGGCAGGATGAAGTGTAGGGTGAAGAATCGTGTGAGAGTGGGGCTGTCGATGGCATATCCTCCTCAGATTCATTGGACGAGATTGGTTCCGATATACGGGATTGCTGATAGTAGGTTTGTGATTACCGTTGCCCCCCAGAATGATATTTGGCCCCATGGGAGAACATAACCCATGAAAGCTGTTGTTATGGTTATAAGAAGGAGTATAATGCCAATGTTTCAGGTTTCTAAGAGGAGATATGAGCCGTAGTAAAGGTCTCGGCCGATGTGTAGGAAAAGGCAGATGAAGAGCATAGAGGCGCCATTGGCGTGGAGGTAGCGAGTGATCCAGCCGTACTTCACATCTCGGGTGATATGTGCAATTGAGGAGAAGGCGGAGGAGGTGTCTGGTGAGTAGTGTATTGCTAGGAGTAGGCCTGTGATGATTTGTAAAATTAGGCAGGCTGCAAGAAGTGAGCCGAAGTTTCATCACATGGAGAGGTTGGGTGGGGCGGGTAAATCAATGAAGGAGCGATTATTTTTATGATTGGGTTGGATTTGCGTATTGGAATCATTGGTGCTTTTATAGTTGAAGTACAACGATGGTTTTTCGTACCATTAGTTATGGTTGGAGTCCATGTGAAAGCAATGACGTATATTTTGTTTGCATTGAGTGTTTTATTAGTTATGGGGTTTGTGGGGTTTTCTTCTAAGCCTTCTCCTATTTACGGGGGTCTGGCGTTAATTGTTAGTGGTGTGATTGGTTGTGTGATTGTTTTAAGTTGTGGGGGGGCTTATATGGGTTTAATGATGTTTTTAGTTTATCTGGGGGGTATGATGGTTGTTTTTGGTTATACTACTGCAATGGCTATTGAAGAGTATCCTGAGACATGAGGTTCGGAATTTGAGGTTTTAGGGGGTCTTTTAGTAGGGTTGATAATGGAGGTGATATTGGTTTTATGGGTTTTAAGTTTGGATGAGGCGGTAGTAGTGGTGGTTGGTTTTAGTGATACTGGTGATTGGGTGATTTTTGAGGGGGAAGGGTCAGGATTGATTCGAGGTGATTCTATTGGTGCGGGTGCCTTATATGATTATGGGCGTTGATTACTGGTAGTTGCTGGTTGAACACTATTTGTTGGTGTGTATGTTGTGATTGAGATTGTTCGGGGTAATAGGTTATATCATTAGAATTAGGGCTAGGGTGAGGGGGATGAGGAAAGAAAGGGAATAGAGTTTGATTATGCCTTTTTGGGTGGTTACAGTTATGGAAGCAGTGATGTGTGCTTGTGAGATTATTTTAGGTATGGATTTTTCTAGTCATGTCGAGTCTAATAGGAGAAGGGCTAAATTTTGGCTTATGAGTAGGTTTTGATAGGGGATTGTGCGGTGAATTGTGGTGGGAAAATATCCTAGTATATTGGAGAATTTGAATATTTGTGATGGGTTTTTTATTTTCAGTTTGTTTGTTATAAGGGTGAGGTCTAGGGCTGCTAGGAAGCCTAGGGCAGTTGCGCACAGGGCTGAGAGTTTTAAGTAGAGAGGTATTGCTGGTTGGGGGAGTGAGGTGGGGGGGATGTTGTTGGTGATAAGAAATCCTGTGATTATGCTGCCTATTGTGAGGCGTTTAATTGGGTTTAGTAGGGTGGGGTTGTTTTCGTTAATGTTTGTTAGAGCTGGAAAACGGGGTTGTCCTGTTAGGGCGAGGAGGATAGTTCGAGTGCTGTAGGCGCTTGTTAGGGAGGTAGTGATGAGAGTAATGAATAGGGCTCAGGCGTTGGTGTACGACGTATTTGTGGCTTCGATAATAAGGTCTTTGGAGTAGAAGCCTGTGAGGAAGGGTATTCCTGTAAGTGCTAGGTTGCCAATGATTATGGAAGTTGAGGTGAGGGGTATTGTTTTGAATAGGCCTCCTATTTTTCGAATGTCTTGTTCGTTGTTTAGGTTATGGATAATGGATCCGGAGCATATAAAAAGTATGGCTTTAAAGAAAGCATGGGTGCAGATGTGTAGGAATGCTAAGTATGGTTGGTTGATGCCAATGGTGATTATTATTAGGCCTAGTTGGCTTGAGGTGGAGAAGGCTACAATTTTTTTAATGTCGTTTTGTGTGAGGGCGCAGATGGCTGTAAATAGGGTGGTAATAGCCCCCAGGCATAATGTAAGATTTTGAATCATTGTGTTGGTTTCTATTAGAGGGTGGAAGCGGATGAGCAAGAACACCCCGGCAACGACTATGGTACTGGAGTGAAGTAGGGCTGAGACTGGAGTTGGGCCTTCTATGGCAGAGGGTAGTCAGGGGTGAAGACCGAATTGAGCTGATTTTCCTGCTGCTGCTAGGAGGAGGCCTATTAGTGGGAGGGGGCTTGAGTTGAAATTTAGGGCTAGTATTTGTTGGAGGTCTCATGAGTTATAATGTAGGAGAAATCATGCTATGGCTAGGATAAGACCAATGTTAGAGAGAGCTGGGGCCCGAGAGCTGGGACCTGAGAGCCGGTAACATGTGAACTAGGACACTGATTGAAGATGGCACCTAGCATGTGAGGAAAGGGTCTAGCTGAGCTGGGAATCATTCCATGTGACTTGTAGCAGCTGCTCCCAGTCAGAGACAATCACAGGACTGCAATCAGGAAGCCTAGTTTGTGTTCTGAGTCAGCACCTTCTCCCCGACTTCTCAATGACTACTCCAAATTTTAACTATTCTTAAGTCTTCATCCTAATCCACACCTCAGTCTTTATTGAAAACCTACCTTCTACCACATCAATAAATCTGAAATCATCAAGCAGGTACTCCTTCAAACTCTAACACCTGCCCCTTAAAAATAAGTCTATCTCCATAATCAGTCTTATCTTTTCAGTCTCATAGGAAGAGTTATCTCTTTTTGTTCAATGCCAACTTGTAAATGATACATCTTTCTTAGTCCTCCTTTAAAATGTCTACTCCCCTAACCTGGAAGTTTATGTTTTCACTTTCTCTCTCAAGGCTTAATCCTCATCAACTATAACAGGGTCTAATCTCTGTCATTTTGAAAGTTACCCTTCTTTTTTTTTTATATCCCTCTCAAGTGTTTTTAAGCAGGTTTTGCTGTGGACTCTCTGAGATCTGGTGAAGCCTATTGATCCTTTCTTGGAATAATGTGTGTAAATAAGATATTTAGGTTTACCAAAGAATCCAGTTATACTGGGTAATTATCCAAATAATATTAACAATGATATGTGCTTATTCATTAATGCTCCAATGGGCAAATCTAGAGTCAGATCTAGTAGCTATCATAATTTTAGAATCATAAATGCAACAATACTATATAATACCAACAATAACCTTAAGGTAATATATGTGATTTCTGAGCAAGTTGGAGTTACTGCTAATACTATAGAGATTGTTATCTAAGTTTCATTATTAAAAGAAATCCAAAATTACAATTAGAGATTAGTGAAAATAACAATTTTCCCATTCAAGTTCCTGGAATTCCATCCTTGGATATCATGGAGGGAGCATGAACTCTGCTCCTCTCCTCACCATCACCATTCTTTTATAATTCTCGAATTCGGTTTTCTGCCTTGCTGGGATCTTGCTTCTGCCCTACCTCTCTTTTGACCTTGTCTTGGGAAAGATCCCCAGTGGTGTCCCATGCGTTGTGTAACCGCACTCCAATCAGTTCACATCTGATTTGATCTTTGGAATATAGACTGTGAACATTCTCACACATGCTGAAAACTTCTCATTTCCCTTCCTTCCTCAATTGACTGATCGCTGAAACTTACTGTTTCCTAATCATTGTGTCTGCATACCTGGTCTCTGCTCACCTTAATTGTTCAGTTTACACATGGCTCTAAACTGTTTGCATCAAAGATAGCATGTCCTAATTACCCCATTCTTTGGGGATAAAAAGGCTTAGATGAAACTAAAAAGGGAAGGGAAATTAATGTTAACAGAGGACTTATCATGATAGCATCATGCAAAGTACTTAACCACATGATGTTTTATTCACATCTTCCAGTGATTCATGAAGGTTATTTTCCCACTTTGGAGAATATACTTGAGTAAACTGATATTCAGAATCATAAGTAACTTTCTCAAAGTCACTTCATGGGGCGGAGGGGTGGGGGGGTGGTAGAACCAGGGTTTAAATCATGGTTTACTGAAATTAGGTTTTCTATATGTAGTAATGTTCTCTCCATCTGAGGTTACACCTGCTTTGTTCAGGTGAAGCGTGACTTGGGAAGGGAACAGGGGAGAAGAGCAGGGGTGCAGGAAGCATAGTTCTGACAATGCTGCTCCTAGCTCACCAGTCACTGTTCTCAATCTCAGAGCCACCTTACTCCAATACCTAGAAAGTGATTGCCACAGCCTCATGTGGACAGCTCAAAACCATGGCAACAAACAAGTCTCTTTGAGCACCTGACATAAGCCCAAAGGAAATGTTTTGACGAAGGTAATTTCATCAGTCCTGACAGGCAACCTGGAAAACTTAGTCCCATTTCCACTAAAACCACTTTCTTTGCAAAAGGATATTTCTGTCAGATGATGACCTAAATTTCCCCCCTTGGCTCACCGTGGAAGGTACAGGCTTGCCATGTCTATCCTCGCTCAGGACAAATAACAAGATGGCCTAACTGAGGGTACAGTTCTGACACCATCTGGGTGGCCTGGCAGTCCTCCTGCAGGTCAGCCTACTGGAAAGTGAGCTCTGCAAGCTCCAGTCACCGCAGTGGCCTTCATGACCAATTTTCTGCTTGCTGGCTGTCGGTGACGTTGGGGAGCCTCATCTTTTGCAGAGAATGGAAGTTGGGGGAAATAAAAGGAGCTCAGGCTGTGCAGAGTTCATGCAGGACAGGCGAGTCCCAGAACTGAGGTTTAGCCCAGGAGGGTTCTTCGCTTTGCCCTGAAAAGAACTCAAGCACCAGCAGTGGTGTTAAACAGCAACTTTTATTAAACAGGAACTTCTACTGAAGCAGCAGGGTACAGCAGCAGCAGAGGTACTTACGCTCTTTGCAGCAGGGCTACCTCATAGGCAGTGAGCCCAGAGTGGCAGCTCAGAGGCAATGCTGAACTCTTATTTCCACCAACTTTTAATTATATGCAAATTAAGCAGTTTATACAGAAATTTCCAGGATCACAGTGTTATCTCCCGGTTGGTTGGGTCATTGGCATGGAAAGAGGTGGTAGCTTCTGGGTGTTACCATGGCAATGGTAAACTGACATGGCATGCTGGTGGGTGTGTCTTATAGGAAGCTGCTTCCACTAGGGACCTGTTTTAGCTAGTCCTCCATTTGGTCCAGGGTCAGAACCTGGCCTCCTGAATCCAGTCCCGTTTCTTACATAAGAATCAGTCACATCGGGTTGGAAGCTGCCCTCTACTGTGTGGAGCTGGACTGTGCTACGTACTCTCTCTGCGCTTTAGATCCCCAACTATAGAGAACAGCTAATAAAGCCTGTTTTCATAAAGTCATTTTGGGGATAGAGTAAAGCAACAAACCTGAAGTGCCTATAGCTGTTGGCAGGCAGAAGACACTGGGTGAAGCTCAGATTATTTCCCCTCTAGTCCCTTGACATTTTTATCATATAATTAAGAGTCAGTGAAAATTGACATAGACAGATAAATAGATGATAGATACACATACATATGTATATATAGCTGTCAGTATGTAAATCTCGCATAAAACTCTAATTTCAATATAGAAGATAACTTTCATTGATTCTTGGCCAAAAATAAAAATATTTTTTATTAATGCATGACATTCTTTTTAATATACTGACTTCAGTAAAGCTTTTATCTCTTTTGGTATAATCTGAAAGTTTCCCACATCCTAGCGCCATGCAAAGTGAGGCACTTAGTAAATGCTTTTGATGATGATAATAGGTTTGCCATTTTAAAGGATGGATAATTTGAGTCAAAGAAAGGTTAAATAGCTTGCTTAAAATGATTCCATGCTTCCTTTCAGCCTGGAAGCCAGGACTCTGAGTGCACTCCTCTTTCCCTGAGTCCTACTCTGATACTTCATAGATAATTGATAAACAAAGTCATTTCTTTTTTTCAACAAAAGCTGTGTCTTCTTGGCTAAATTAAAGTTTTGGTAATCCAATTTATTCTCTTAACCCAACAGAGCAAGCAATTGATTTCATTTTCATTTTCAATCATGAAAACCTTATCACATTTCATTCTTGCTCTCTGAATTATTAGGTTTCGGTTCTTGTTTCCACATGCTTTATATGCACAAGTCAAGTGTAACCTGAAAGATATTAAAGTGGATTTGCAGTGAAATGGCACATACCTAGGAAATTTGTCTTATTGCCTCTTAACTCCTCTTTTGTTTAATGTGCTTATTGGTATTTTTCCTAGGACTGTGCTGGTGCTGCGTGATGGCACATTTCTGTTGACAGCCCTGAACTTTCAGACAGATACTCTGTGAATCAGGTGAGAGGGAGTCTTTAATTAACGCCCTAAGACTGCGAATGGAAACAAAGAACAGGAAGGTTGTAAGATGGATCTGGCTGTCAAAACAAAATGAAATAAAAATCCCAACGTGCTCTGCCCCAGCAAGCAAGCAAGCATCACTCTTGTCCTGCACTGGGCTCTCGCCCGCTCTCACACAGAAATAAGGGCCTAGACCTGCACCTGGAGACCACAGAGGAAAATTTAATATGGAAGAAAGCAATGAAACAACTTTCCACAGAAATTCTCTACCCAGAGCACCCTAGTGCCTCATTCCTGCCTCTATCATTAGAGCTGCTTTCAAATCCCCAATGATCTTAAAGTCCCTTGGAAGGGCTTGAAAGCTTCTCAGGTAATTATGGCCTTGTGAGAAACAATCAAGCTGGAAAAAAGGTATTTCTAAAAGAATCCCTAAAGTAAGCCCCCGCCACTGTATCTGTTCTTTAGAGCTATAAGAGAAATTCATGTTACACTTTAGGGAAACCTCTTTGGTAAAATAGCTTGAATGTCACAGCCCAAGGCTAGAATTCTTTCTTTAGGAAATAATATATTTCAGAATCAGAATATGACTTTGAACACAGCCTGGTAAATCCAGTTTTGTACAAGAGAGAAATGTTAGCACCTGAGTTCAAGGACAGCTGAGGCTTTAGTGCTCTTTTGTACAGCCCTCCTTGCCAGATTGCTTGCTGCCCTTCTTTCTGATACACTGTGTTCTATTCCCCTCCTGAAAACTCATCTAAAACTTGATTGTTTAAAGCAAATATGTATTGAACACTTACTATCTGCAAGGTATTGTCCTAGTTGCTGGAGATACAGACATAACTTTAAAAAGCAAAATCCGTGTATTCATAACAGAAAATTTGCTATTTTAATTTCCCAAAACCCAATTTCTCCATTAAAGGTGCACATTTACACAAAAAGAATATGCACTCGGCTTGGTCTTACTTCTCTGCTCCTTCCAGGTATGCTGTCCCATGTACCCCTGACTGTCCATTCCCCACGGTGCAGAGACTG